GGGTGAGGTTACACCCATTTCAGCAATCCTTCTTTTTATTGTTGTGTAATTTGCCAGTTCAAACAATAAGTTCAGTTGCCGGACCACGGGAGCAGGCGTGTCACCCGGGGAAAGAAAGAAGCAGAAAAAGAAAATTAGGACAACATGTGCTGCTGGAGGACATCAGAATAAGAGGGCTTTATAGGACTTCTCTGGTTCACTCAAATTTCCTACGCGTTTAAGGCATGAGCTTTCTTTTTCACAGTCTGCTTCTAGCAGGAACACCTAGGAGCCCACCGAGACTTGGGATGTTCCGTTGTAAACTCTGGGCTTCTCCAGGGCCCCATGACAGCCAGTCCCCGGTGGGGAGCTGACTCCGCACACAGGGAGTCGGCCCCCCCAGCTGACGTCTCCAGCTTGGCGAGAGCGCAGGGAGAGGCGAGCGCTGGGACGTGAGGGTGTGATTCTAAATCCTCACGTCTGACCCCAGCCCTTCTCCTCGTCCACCTGCCTCACGACTAGAAAGAGGAAACGGGCCCGGTGGTCATTTTTGACATTGACTCATCTTAGTTTCGTGGGATTTTTTTGAAAAGGAGAATGTAGTTTCATTTTAAGCCAAGAGCTTTGCCAAAGCATAAATCAGATAATCTAGTTCTAGTCCTGTTCTTCACGTGTTTGTTTTCCTTTCCTCTGTTTATGTTGATATTATCTAACTTTTGATGATGAAAGAATTAGATGCATCTGTTCGCCTTTATTATCACACGAGTGAGTAGAGATGGCCTGGTCTTTCTTCTGGTTCCTTCAGTTTGCCTCATTTTGTTTCACTGGAGCCCGATTTGTATGGGATAACTGTGTGTGTGTGTATCTCTGTGTGTGTGTACTCACATGTGTGTTTAGGGGCAACAAACATCCTTTTCTTCTATTTGCGTTAAACCTGACTGCATTTTGTTTGTTCTGACTGTCCTATTTGCTGTCTGCAGTTGGTAGACTCACTCTGGGACCGGGGCTGCTGAGAGAGGATGACCCTGAGTTCTCTAGACTTTACTCTAGGCCTTTGACTCAAATAATGTCTTGGATTAGCTAAACAACTTGCAGTTCCATTGCAATGTTATTCTCTCAGTTTTTCCCCCCACAGTGGCCTTCTATACCCACACAGTGGTGCACGCAAGTATCAGTGGATAAGATAAATGGCTGAAGTGGATGACAGGCTCCAGGCCCACAGAGACCCCAGAATCATGGTCCAATCCTGGCTGCACGTTGGAATCATCTAAAAGACTCCCGTGTTGGGGCCCCACCTTAGAGGTCTATCGTTTCGAAATCTGACTCATATTTGAACAATTATAATCACAGTCATCTGAGCCTAGCACTGAAATACCTATTATTCAGATCCTAATCTATGAACGAGAGAAAAAAGCCCAGGTATCTGTTGAAAGAGAGCACAGATGTGTGGCCGTATGTGGTCTTCATTGTATTAGGAAGAAACGAAGGCAGGTGATGGGAGACAGTGGCGATGGCGGGAAGGAGAAGCCTCAGAGGGCTGACACTGAGTCCCAGCTCTCCACCCACAGGCCCATGACCCCCTCCGAGCGAGCCACCTGCTCTCTTTTAGCCTCAGTTTAATTGTAGTAAATTGGGGATTGCAAGACCTACCTCAAAGGCTTGTTGTGAGGGATGAAATCAGATAATGTGTGTGAACGTTCCTCTGCAGGCTTCAGGGCACTATGTAATTATTAGCTGTGACTATCAGTTTAAGAAACTGGCTTTCACAATGAGCAGCTCATTAACCTGCAGCCTCCCTGCTGCTCGGGCTGCAAGGGTTCCTGGGATGGGCAGGTAGGGCCCCCTTGAGGGGTTCTTGCCATCGGCCCCATCCGCATCCTTTCTCTGAGCCACTGTTGTGCTCCAAGAGATTTCGAGGGTCAGGACAGGAGGGTACAGTGAGTAAAGGGGGAGGGAAGAGGCAGGTGAGACCCGGGAGAGAACCGAAAGGGCTTTTCTCCAGGACCAGGTGGTGGCAGTGGGGGTGCGGGTGGGGGGAAGAAGAGCAGCTGAAAGAAAGAAAAGGGACTTGCCTGTAACTGCCCAGAAGGTTCTGGGCCAGGAGCTCTTCACATAATTCTCAGGTTGAGCTGTGTTCCCCTCTAGCTGGACCCATAGGGGTGTCCTGGGGAGATGCCCAGCTCCATCTGAGCCCAGTATCTGCCTTGGAAGTGCCCCTGGAAGCCAGTGGAGAGGGCTCAGGAGGTCTTTGCAGAAATGATGGAGAACCCAGTTTTGCATCTCAGCCTTCAGCTACTCAGTGTCTGAAACCAAGCGCTCCCAGGGGCCCGTGGCCCTGGAGCCTCCAGTGCACAAGGCCTGAGAAGTCTCTGTCACAGCATTAGTTCCCCTGGCTCTTATTTTGATAATCAAAGAGAGTACTGAGGCCCTTTGAGCCTTCTGACATATGTGTCCAAACTCCAGACCGTCCTGGGGAGAGGGGTCACATGGTGCGGTGACCACAATGGCTTGGGTGACCAGCAGGCATCGGGTACAGGAACTCTGCCCGAAGCTCAGAGACTCTTCATTTACGGCCGAGGAGGCTCTCCCACTTCCTCTGTACTAGCCCCATTCTGTGGGTTCTTATTCGCAGTCGCCCATTGCACCATGTTGTTTGGTTACCACCAGGCCCCTCTTGAAGGATATTGAGGAAATGCAGGCAGCAGAGGTTCAGAGATGGGTCTGAACCCCAGGCAGGCTGAGAACAGAGTCCGGTGTTCCCGCCTCTTCGCCTCTCACACTCTCACAGGCACCGAGCCTTCCCCATTGCCCTTCTGTGGGGTCAAACCGGGTGAGTGACCAGTCTGCTGTGCACAGACCATACTTCCTTACATCCTTGCCAAGATCCTGTCAACAGAAGACAATTGATAGCATTTTCTTAATACCAGCTAGCTCCCAGGCTTGGTACCAAGGTTAGCTTCACAGTCCTTTCAAAAACCCTGGGTTGTGGACATTGTCATTTTTCTCGTGGTTCAAATGAGAAAACTGGGGCATGGGCAGGTTAAGTGACCTGTGACCTATCCAGGGGTGGGGATGCTGAGAGTCAGACCAATGGCCTGACTTCAAAGCCTGTGCGAGGTCAGATGGACTGTCCGAGGACCGACGCCAAGCCCATGCCTCTGCAGTGGCCCTGGAGAACTTTCGGGGTTGGCTCTCCTTCAGTCATGGTGCTAGCACTTCGGTTCTGAATAGTTTACTCTTGAAAACTGCCTGGTTGCCGAGTGTCCCGTTAACACAGGAAAAAAACCTGGACTTTATCAGACTCAGCCTGCTTTTGAGTGAAATGCAAAATAAGTTGAGAGCCAGGCTCTCTTTAAGCCTTGATCACATTAGCCTGACGACACTGCTACATTAATCTAAGTGGTTAATGGGCAAAGTGGGTCAATCCAGCGTTAGCGTAAGCCCGGCTGGCTGCCGTGCTGGAGCAGTCTTCCAGGGAGAGGCTCCTTCCTCTGACTCCCTGTGAAGAAGGAGCTGTCCCCAGGGGGTGGCCCTTGCTGCTCCTGCGAGAGACAGTTTATATCATCATTTCTATAAGTGAGGAGGTGGTCTCAGTAGATTCGGGATGGCTTGAAGCTGGAAGTTTACAATGTCCTACTGAGAGGTAAATATTAAGTCAGAAATGATGTGGAAATTGTCTTTTTTAAAATTCTTGGGCCCAGGTGGGAATCAATCATAAATCTCTATCCCATAGATAATGGAAAATTGTACGTTTGTGACCAGAACTTAGTGTCTGATTACCTAACACATCTCCTTTTGATGTATACACACGAGCCTGTCCACACACATGCTAGACTTTGGTGCCACCATGTCCTGTAAGCTGTGTATAGAACACTATAATAATGATGATAATAACGACGGTAGTAATAGTAGCTAGTATATATCAAGTATATGCTGTTTGTCAGGCGTGTTCAAAGCATGTTATGATCGTTAATTGTTGTAATCCTCATTAAACTCCCAGAGATGGGTATTAGCATCTTTGTTTTTGCAGATGAGGAAAAGAAGTCCAGAAAAGTAAGTTGTTGCAGGTGACACAGCTTCTAAGTGGCAGAGCTGGGACGTGAAGCCAGGAGGCCTGACTTGCGAGCCCACATTCTTTGACTGTTAAGCTAAACTGCTTCGGTTTTACAAACCTCATAACAACTGAATGAAGTTGGTGAAAATCGTTCCAGTTTCACATATGAAGATGCTGAGGCTCAGAGAGCAAATAAGGCACAGTCTTATGTCATTGACTGGTGTTATTTTTTGTCCTAATCACTACCACAAGACTGCTTTTTGGTCCAAATGCATGGCCTGTATCTCCCGTAGGTTCTGACAGTTTTGTCTACATACTTTTGTTTCAATTGTTGCTGTGATACATATCATGCAAGGTTTTTATATGATTTTTGGCTGCTGTGTGCTTTGTGGCCTTCAGGCATGCTTTTCACAGTAAAGGCATTTTGTCAGTGGTCACTGCGGGGAAGCTGGTACATCCTGACTTGGCTAGGGGGCGTGTCCCACAGCACACCCGCCCCAGCTTGGTGAGCACCTGAAGGCAGTCTAGCGAGGGCCCCTGGGTGGCGAAATCTCCAGGAGCCCCACGTGCTATGGTTCAGGAAGGGCGCATGTCCAGAGGCCAAAGGCCTGTGTGTTCTGACATCAGATGTTTGGGGCAGTCTAAAAGCTAGATGCCCTGAAAAATAAGGGCGAGGTCTCTTCTGTGGGAGGGTCTCTCACAAGAGGATCGGAGAGAAACGCATGTCTTACTCAAATTTTTCCCTTGAAGAAAGGTGCCTTCACATTTCAGCTGGGTAGGTCTGGTCTCCAAACTTGAGAGGGGACTTTCATGTGCCGCTCAGCCCTGAAATTCTGCTTGTGGTTTTTCACGTTTCTACAACTAGTCCCAGTAAAGAGGGTGCAGGGATTAGAAGTGACGACAGTGAGACGTGTGGCCAAAGACGTGTCACCTTCTGACTGGAGTTTGGTCTGTTTGCTTTGCTCAGGGACCTGATGCCGAGAACCCTGGACGGGCAGATCACCATGGAGAAGACGCCCAGTTACTTTGTCACCCGGGAAGCGCCCGCGCGCATCTCGGCCATGTCCAAGGACACCAAGCTCATCGTGGTGGTGCGGGACCCGGTGACCAGAGCCATCTCGGACTACACGCAGACGCTCTCCAAGCGGCCGGACATCCCCACCTTCGAGAGCTTGACGTTCAAAAACAGAACTACGGGCGTCATCGACACGTCGTGGAGCGCCATCCAGATCGGCATCTACGCCAAGCACCTGGAGCACTGGCTGCGCCACTTCCCCATCGGCCAGATGCTCTTCGTGAGCGGCGAGCGGCTCATCAGCGACCCGGCCGGCGAGCTGGGCCGCGTGCAGGACTTCCTGGGCCTCAAGAGGATCATCACGGACAAGCACTTCTACTTCAACAAGACCAAGGGCTTCCCCTGCCTGAAGAAGGCCGAGGGCAGCAGCAAACCCCACTGCCTGGGCAAGACCAAGGGCAGGACCCACCCCGAGATCGACCGCGAGGTGGTGCAGAGGCTGCGCGCCTTCTACCGGCCCTTCAACCTCAAGTTCTACCAGATGACCGGGCACGACTTTGGCTGGGATTGAAGGGACAGGACTGTGTAACCTACCACTTGGCTTATATATTGAGAGAGATTATATGTATGTAAAATGTACAGAAATCTATTTTATAATAATTTATTTTTAATTCATAAGCAATTAATTCACTAAGCTGCCTAGCCACACTCTTTATAGAGTTAGCTTCATAATCTGTTAACATTCCAAAGTGTTTGACTCTAATATTTTGTTCTTTTCCTCACAATTGATGGTGCTTCCATTTTTTTTTTCCCTACCCATTATATTTAAAAAGAAGAAAAGCACAACTTGAGATTTTTGTTGTTACGGGTATGCAGCCTTCCATCACCGTCTGGACTCGCTTGCTGTCTCCTTCCAGCTTCCGTTCTCTTCTTGCCTGTGTGCCTCGTAGGGGTGCTGCGCAGCCTCTGCAGTGCTGCTCTCGGGAGGGGAGACCTCACGTAGCAGCTTCCTCGTTCACGTGGTGACATTTCCCAGGATGTAGACGCCAAGCCACAGCGCTGGGTCTTCCCCCAAGTCCGCTCAGCACATGAGGGACTCACCACCTTTGCAGGGACATCCACATCCGTTAGAGTCTGCATGCCAGGGTCCATTTACTTCAGCTTTTGATTTTGATTTTGAAGGATGACCCTGCATCCTCTTCTGGCCCAGCCCCTGGCTCATTAACCAGCCTGAAGTGTATGCCAATGTTAGCCTCCTCTTTCCAAGGTCACGTGTGTGAGCTGCTTGGGTGCTGCTTTAGAAATAAAGATGATCTCTTCTCCTCTGCAAGAGAGCACACCATGCACTGTTCTCCAGGCAGACAGCTCTGCTTGGACACACCAAAGAATCCCTTAGGCTAGCAGAGCCACCCACATAAACCAAGGGTGCCGGGTGTCAAGACCCAAAGGGGTCAGGTGCATCCCAGGCCATCTGCATCTACTGAGATGCTGCTAGATGCAGAGCCAGCCTGTGTAGTGCACATCCCAGTAGGCTGGCCACTTCCATGGGGAGAAAACACGAAGACCCCCAAAAGGACAGGTGGGATCCCTGGCCCCCTGCTGGATGTCTGGAACTCCTCTCCTTGGAATTCCTAGCTCATCTCAGATCGACAGCCTGGTCTGTTGTAGCCAGCAGCCAAACAGCGAGAGCCAGGAGTGGCCCTTGTAAGGACAGGCTGGGAAAGCTGGCCCCACGTGGCCTGTGAGCACTGAAGGCTGCCCTTGTGCAGCTCTCCCTTGTCCAAGCCAGGTCTTGGCAGAAGGGTTGCCAACCTTGTGGCTGCTGATGCTGAATGCTCTCCTCATCCCTCTCTGTCAAGATAGTAGTTGAGGATCATTTATGATGACCAGCTAGTGGCAGCTGGGTAACCACAGAGCAATATCACATAATGACATATTCACTTTATCCTCAGTTTTCTAAACCAGAATGCTTCGACCGTAAAAGACTTGTCATTTGACTTATACTTTCATGCAGGAATATGTGGGAAGATAGACATATTTGTCAAAATGGTTGGGTTGTGATATTTACAAAGGACACTTTTATATGTTGTATGGGATATCTTACCTAATAGAGTAACAAAACTTGTATGAAAAGATAAAAAGGTAATTCATCTTTAGAAACTGATCAGAGGTGTTACTGGTCTTTAAGTGATGTCTTGTCGATAATCTGGTTTGTAGTCGCCCACAAGTTTGAGCCCAGATGACGCTCAGCAGCCAAACTCATGTAGCAGCCTACGTCATGTAGGTTCTATGCAGGAGGCTGGGCATCGGGGGCCCAGTGCCTTCCTGAGACGTGATATTCATTTCATAGCTTTGCTCCTGCCTCTACCAAGTAGAGTAGAAGCTGCACTTGGGGGAGCACCATGATCATAGCATGGTCTCCCCTCTTGCTGTTTAGGAGTCAAAGACACCTGCATAAGGGTGCTAGTTGGCTGTGCATTTTTCCAATCAGAATGCGCCTTTGAAATAAGGCTAAGAACATCTATTTTCAGTTACAGCATAACACTGCATAAAATAAAAGTCAGTAGTCCACCAGCTGATCCTGCCCGGTCCTCGTTCTGGCCACTCTCTTGCTCTGACGTGGCTCATGATGTAGAATTGCAGGGAGGTTCAGAGCAGGGTTTGCAACACAGTAGGAGAGAAATATGCCTGTGCTTTTCCTTCCCCTTCAGGTCCCCACCATCTCTGCAAGCTGGACAGTTTTGATTAAGTTGTTTATTCCCTGCCTTAAAACTGAAACAGGAAATTTTCAGATAGAAGGAGGATCCTTTAGTCACGAACACTGAAGTGGGTCAAGATTCTATGCCAGGTCAAATCCTTGAATCCAAACAGATGTCGATAATTAGCACTGATGGACCAGAGCAAATTTTCCTATGGAAGACAAATAAATCCAGCTTCCTGTGCATCTCCTCCTAGGGGTCTGATAGCTTCTAGTTCCTGCCTGATCCGGACACAGCGTCTGCCCCAAGGTTACAGCCCCTCATGTGATAGTTATTAGAAAGCCTGAGCCTGCACGTCCTGCTCCTGGAGAAGTTAGGCAACACGTAAAATTAAGCCTTGAGTTTCTTCCCGTTCTAGCCATCTGCAAGGCCACCAGCTTAACTTGTTAGCTGCTAGAAGACAAACATCATTTCTGTTTTGGCAATTTGTCCTACCACGTGTTTTGGGTTTCTTCCAGTTTACAGGAAAGGCTCTGATATCCCTTGGAGTATTTATTCCTCTGTTTTGTTTTTCTCATTAAAAACAAACAAAAAGGTTAACAAAAAGATTGAAGGTTTTTATTGCTCTTATCTATCCCATGCTTTCTTGCTGGGTAGTCCCTGGAAAGGTATTTAGGTATAGTGACTGAGTAATAAATACTTAATTGGAAGATGGAGGAGGAGAAATTGTCTTGATGGGATTCTCTTTGGAAGTCGTTTTGAGTGACATATATTTTAGACCTTTGGAGAAACACAGTTTCAGGTCCCGCCAGGATATTTTCATAAGAAAGGAAAATGGAAGGTTCCAGTAAACTAGGAACAGTATGTATCTAAAATGCTGACACAGAAGTCAATGTCATTTTTTGGTTTATCAAGAAAGATGGTCAATAAAACGTAAAGGTGTGGTTAGATTTTTTTTTTCACTTTTGTAACATTAATTTATGAGTGAGTTTCATTCAGCCCAGTAATCTGAAATACTGTGCAAATTCTAGCAGTGTGTCTTCTGTAACCTGGGTGTTAGAATAGCTAATATGTACAAAAAAAAAAAATCAAGTATTTTGTCCTATGTATAACACAAATTAATTTTACACGGAGAGAGATGTTTCTAGGAAAACAAAATTCTGGTAATTCATACTATTTCTTTGTATGAACAAATAAAATATATTTTACCAATCTGTGAGTACCTTTATGTTTATGTGTTGCAGATGGACAAGGAAACGCTACTTTATTCAGTAACTGATCACACGGGTATACATACAGACACGAGCATTCTGACGGCAGGTGGTTTCAGATTGTAAAGGGTTCAGTCCAAAATCCAACTAATCCACAGATATTTGGAGTGGATTTTTGTAAATGACTCTGAAAGCTACGAGATGGGTGAGAGAGCTCCTGTCCCCTGTAGAGCACACCCCTGGAGGAAGGGCTGCCCATTGCCCGGGTCCCAAGAGCACCGCAGCCCTGGGTGCTGCAGCCTCGCGGTGCCTCGGTTTCCGGCCGGGTGGTACGTCGGGGCTGCCATGTGCACACCTGTCACGCGACAGGTGCAGTGTAAGTGGAGCATGATGAGGATGGGTGATTTGGATAATGGGAGCGTTCCCTTCGCACACTGCACATTCGCAGCGTAGTCTCATGTCAGTGGTTTGGAGATCCTTATTTGTAAGACAGAAGCAGCAAAGGCCTTGGACAAGACAGCATTTCTGTCTTTAACCCGTCTCAAATGACCTTCTGTTTTCTTTTGACACAGCACACCATCTGTATGACTATTATCTACTGTTTTAAACATTTGATTCATTCCCTTATTTTACTTAATTTTTTTTCAATTTTTAATTGATTTTAATTTGGTATACCTCTGAGTTTTTTTTTTTTTTTTTGAGGAAGATTAGCCCTGAGCTAACATCTACCACCAATCCTCCTCTTTTTGCAGAGGAAGACTGGCCCTGACCTAACATCCGTGCCCATCTTCCTCTACTTTATATGTGGGACACCTACCACAGCATGGTTTGACAAGCGGTGCATAAGTCCACACCCAGGATCCAAACCGGTGAACCCCAGACTGCCGATGTAGAAAGTGTGAACTTAACCGCTGCACTACCGGACCAGCCCTTCTCTGGTTGCGTTTTAAAGTAGCTGACACTAAATTGACAAATTAAGGCTTGAACTCAACAATTCTGACTTTCGTTTTTTAAACCACTTTATTGAGGTATGATTGACATACACAAAGCTGTACAGGGCCAGCCCCAGTGACCTAATGGTTAAGTTTGGTGCACTCTGCTTCCATAGCCCAGGTTTGGTTCCCAGGCACAGACCTACAGCACTCGTCTGTCAGTGGCCATGCCATGGTGGCAGCTCATGTGCAAAAAGAGGAAAATTGGCAGAGGATGTCAGCTCAGGGTATATCTTCCTCAGCAGAAAAAAAGAAAAGAAAAAAAAAGCTGTACATAATGTTTACAACTTGATGAGTTTAGAGATAAGTATACACCCGTGAAACCATCGTCACAATCAATGCCATAAACATATCCATCACCTCCAAAAGTTTGCTTCACCCTCTCTCTTTTTTTTATGATAAGAACACTTAACATAAGATCCACCCTCTTAGCAAATTTTTGAGTATTCAATATAGTATTGATAACTATAGGCACAATATAGGTAGAGTAGATCTCTAGGACTTAATTCGTTTTGTATAGCTGAAACTTTTATTTTACTTAATTTCAAAGGGAAACATCACAATCTTGGGTAAAAAGTTATCTCTTGCCATAAAGAGGAGGTAATCATGAGAAAATGAATACAATGAAAACAAAGCCATGCTAGTAATTTCCAGCTACATATAAATCAAGCCATGCTTGCTGTGGGCTCACCTGCTGCTCCCCGGAAAGCTCTCTCCTGTTGAAGACTCGCTCGTAACTGAGGTTTGCATCTTGCCATGAGGGATGGAAGAGAATTGAAGAGGGCATGACTTGCCCAATGCTATTTGGTGTTGAGTCCACAAATGCCCAAAATATGAACACCGCCCCCAAATCCTCTCTGCTGGCACTCTGGGCTTCCTCGCACTTTGGGCAACACCAGGATTCACACTAAGAAAACGCAGAGAATTGGAAACCAGCCTCGCGTTTTGGGAAGACAGTGAAAAGAACACGCTGCCATGGCGGAGGATGCACGACGGGCAGGTGGGAAACAAGTTTTCCTTAACACTCGGTTTTCAGAGGCCAGCATTAGAGAGAGACGCGTTCCTTCAAACCTGGGAACATATCACTAGGTGAAATATGTGTGGGCCTTGAGTGCTGACCTGACTTTGCACCCCATCCCATCAATTTTATGCTTTTTCTACAGCACGGTAATAAAATGGACCTAAAATCTACACATTAACCTGATGGCACAGTTTAGAGCAGTAGTTCTCAAGCTTGGGCAAATATTCGAATGACCTAGAGAGGTCTTAAAAAATACTGAAGCCCTAACACACCTCAAACCAATCCCAGGAGAATCTCTAGGGGATGAGGCCCCAGCATTCGTCTGTTTAAAAAGCTCCGAGCATGGACCTTGAGGGTCTTACACTGAATGAAATAAGTCAGACTGAGAAAGACAGCTACTATATGATCTCACTTACATGTGGAATCTAAAAAGGACAAAGTCAGAGAAACAGAGAAGAGTGGTTCCCAGGGGCTGGGGGTGGGAGAAGTGGGAGATGTTGGTCAGAGGGTACAAACTCCCAGTGGTAAGATTAACAAATTTGGGGATCTACTCTACAGCGTGGCAATTAAAGCTAATGAGGCTGTATCATATACTTGAAGTGGCTAGGAGAGTAGATCTTAAATGTTCTCACCACAAAAAAGAAATGCTAATTATGGGATGGGATGGCAGTGGCAGCTAATACTATGATGGTAATCATTTTGCAATATATAAATATATCCAGTCAACGCCTTGAACTTACATTATGTTATGTGTCAATTCTATCTCGATAAAGCTGGAAAAAAATTTAAAAGTAAAATAAAAAGCTCCCCAAGTGATTCTAACATGTAGCCAAGATGGAGAGCCATGGTTCTCAAGGTGTGGTCCCTGGACCACGTCAACATCCCCAGGGAACCGGATCGAATGCAAATGCTCAGGCCCTGCCTCAGACCTACTGAATCAGAGACTCAAGGTATAAGAAGCCCTCTAGCTGATTCCGATTCATGCTAAAGTTTGAGAACACCATGTTAGAGCATAGGCATCATATCATCTTAAAATGAGAGAGCTTGGATTCCTAATCAGACACATTTTCCTCTGTACCATACTCTTCACCACTGAAGTCAATTACTAAGCAGTCACTCCTTGTAATTCTGGATCTCCTTTAAGAGAAACCCTGACACAGTCAATCCCACAGCATTTCAAATAGTGGCCATGTCTGCCCAGCTTCCCTCAGTCCACTGGGCCCTCTTTTATCAGGCAGCCCCCAAGCTGTCATCTATAATATGTGCCTGAAACGGCCTGAAAGAGGAACAACAGACTTATATATCATAAGGGATTTTCTTAAGAGAGCTAAAAATCCTTTAAATCCCCAATTCCATCCTACCTTCTCGATTCAGTCTTCAACAATGTATTTCCAGCACTTTGTATATGATCAATAATTATTTCTTCTTATCTTTCACAACTGAGTATACAATTGACTCCCCGAAGTCCACTGATGGGCCGTTCAAGGTGAAAGTTTCTGCCTGGCCATGGCGTTCTCCATTATAATCAGCTCCTCTAAGCCTGCAGCTCCTGTCACCACCGTCTAGTTTCATTTGTCCATCCTCACTCATTTTTATTATTACTAGGTGCAAAAGATGATAAAATAGTCATGTTATTGCACAAAGTCTGCCGTAGCAACGCATCTGTGGGCTCAAAGCCTGCATTCCTCATTTGAGAGCTTGGGATGTTTCTGTTCCCATCCAACAGTCTATTTTTGTGTGAACTAAAAGCGGCTTTAGGACCCCAGAGCATAGTTTCCGGAGAAAGGTGACTAGCAGGCATTGAACACCCTGCCCGACCTTCACACCCGTGCGGAGTATCAGGAACTCCTTCCTATCTTCCCTTTCAGCCCCAGGGCTCCCCGAGCGTCCCCCTTGCTGTGTGGAAGCTGTTATAATCCCTAGGGAGTCCTGACCTCAAGACGTCTTGACCTTGTGTGCTTTCTCTTTAGATATACTCAGCAGAAGAGATAACAGGGGACACCCAGTCTCCACTGGAAGCAGTAAACAACAGGACGGCTCCGGAACTTCTTGAGAAGGGGAGTCATCTGATGGGAGTGGTGTTCAGGAAAGTTTATTTTGGATATGATATTTCATATGAATTGGAGCAAGAAGAAGCTGGAGTCGGAGATAGGTTCATTCATTCAATAAATATTTATTGAGTACCTACTGCTGCTGGGGCTCAACCCTAAACAAGACACACTTCCTGCTGCAAGGAAGTCACATTCCATGGGGGAGCTGAAGGTGCAACTCACATGCAGTGTGACAAGCAAGATGACAAGGTGCTGTGGGCAGCCAGGACAGGAGTACCTAGCCTGATCTGGGGCAGGTAGGGTAAGGGTCTGCAAGCCTGTAGCCATGTGATTGGGTGGCAGGGAGACAGAGGGAAAGAATCATGTAGCAGGGAGTGTGGGGGAGGGGGGGGAGGATGGTTCTGGAGGGATCAGCATCAGATTGCATTGCAGGCAAATTAGCAGCAGTCCAGCTGTTTTTGAGCTCAGACTCCTCTGTCCATTCGCCTACCCGACACCTCTATCTAGACAACTCTACAAGCATCTCAAAGCAAAACATCTTCCAAATTGAACTCTTGGTTCTCCTTCCTAAATCTTCTCCCCTAGTCTTGCCCGCTTTGGCGTGCTCAAGCTAGAAAACTTGGAGTCATTCTTGACATCTTCACATTCTTCACATCTAATCCATTACTAAGTACTGTCAAGACAACTTCCAGAAAGTCCGCCAAGTCCATTCACTTCTTTCTGTCTCCTCTGACACCATCACCTGGTACAAGCTGCCATGCTCTCTCGCTGGACTCCTCCAGTAGCCTTCCACCTTCCCTCCCACACTTTTCCCCGCTCTCTGCAGTCCATTCTGCTCATGACAGTTTGAGGCATCTTTTAAAAACTCACATTAGACTGTGTACTCCTCCAGCTAAAAGCCTTTAAATAGCCTCCCATTATGTTTTAGATAAATCCC